TAAATTTTCTCAGAGCAAATGGCTCTGATTCATTCACGTCTTTTAACATGATCTGAAAAGTATTATAAGAATGACATGCAAATAATATTGCCATCACGAGTCATAAAAACGTTTTCTCAGACATTTCAAATATTAGCCGATGACAACTTGTCAACCTTTTACACAAATGCTACTAAAGCAGAGGTTATATACAGTAGCTTTTCTTTTCGCAGTGAATAACCTTTTAACCATTGTCAATCAGAATAAAAAACGTGTTTTTTTCCTTTCATTATCTTAATTATTTCCTTTATTATCTCTTATCTTAAAAGTGAATTATTTACCAGATTGTACTTTTCAAATGTGCATTTGGTTGTATATAAAGCCACAAAACGTAACTCCCGTCAGTTTCAGTGACTGACTAGCGCCACCTATTGGGCCTCTACCTGCATGTCAAAGGAAATCGTTTGTTGTAAAATAAGTGCGTTGTAATACATATGAAAGTATAGAAAGCAAGGTACTATGTCGAGAGCTTATGTCGAATAGGGTGTGTAGGAATGGTTATGTGTTAATGTGATGATTCGGTGAAGTTCGACATACGTATATTCTCAGTGTTTCCCAAGTGTTAAAGTATAGTTTCTGTATATTTTTTCGTTATTAAGCACTTGCAGTTAGACTTTTGATAAATTACATTTATCGAAGGAAGACGTATTTACAGGGAGAAGCGCTACGTCTCCCCAACAAGTAAATTAAATTCAGACATCTATAGTTTACTATAATGATGGCATGTTTTTACCTTATACTGTACATGAGAGTGTGAGTGCCTAGTATGGAATAGGTTTTGCAAAAATAACGTTGTTATAGACAACGTATTCGTATATTTGCACTTAACGCCTTTCCTGATTCAGCCAGGGCTCTGGGAGTTTGAACTTGTTTGGGGAAAAAAGACATAAAGTTCACGTTTTACTTGTTTAAATCGTTAATAATCAACGTTAGTAATACGCAAGACTACATTTCCCAGGATGCACACTGATAAAGGAGCGGAATAGTTTTTTCGGTCAAAGGTGAAAGTGGAATGCGTGGAGTTTTACGAGAATGCATGATGAGAGTTTAATAATTTTATTTAGATTTTCTTAATATTTGAGTTATTACTGATGCCCAACATGTCTTCAAAAGACAAAGATTCGTTAAAAAATGAGTTGTTGTATTTGATTTATCAACATCTTAGTGAAAACGGTTACAAAAAGGCTGCGAATGAAGTCAAAAAACATGTTTTACAGGTAATACGTTACAGTATATATATGTAGATTTCTTGCAATAATACTTTAAAGTAATCTCAAATAAAGCTATTAAATACATTTATTTCAAATTGTTGATGTATGGTTTACGTTTATTAACTTCACTGAATCGCAGTTTCCTAGTACTAAAAGCTCTGTGATCTCGTGTGAATATTTGCATATTTCTGTAGATCATCTTTAACATTGTCTTTCTTTAGTTACTATTGGTGTATGGTAGTAACAAATTTAGCAGATCTAATATGTATAACTACTATATCGACATTTATTATATGGCCATAGAAGTTAAGGAGATTTTGTGGTGTTTCGCACCATCAAAACACTTGAAAAGTGTTTTCTCCATGTCTCGCAGGCGGTTTTGAGAAACCTAAGCAAACTTCACAAATCGCCACGTTCAAAAGATAAAAAAATATTTTAACAATTAAGTATTTTTAAGATGAGCTTCTTTGTTAATTGGTGCCGTGTCCTGTATTCTATTTTAGTGCACGTTAAGGGGTTTATAATTTTGTTTTTCAATCACTGGCACTGTATCTCGTTTTTTTTTCCCTACAGAAGGGCAGTCCTGTACTGTCGGCATCGCTACAAGATATCTACACGTCTTGGATGAAGTAAGTGCCGCACTTTTTCAATATGCACCCATGTGGTCCAGTGGAAATTTAAAAAGACACGTGCTCACCCAAATTAGACAAAGTTTTACTTTTTAATCATTGTAAAAAAATACGTCCGTTTAAAAGAAAAATAACCTCCCTTATTTAAATCATGAAGCAAGGCTGTTGGCAAATTATACGAGTTTGGTCTTTGTTAGGATCATTATGCGTTTATAGAATATTTTTATGGAAGGGGCTGTAATTTTGCTTTTCACAATATTTTTTTTAAATCAAAGTAGTTGGAAGACATACTGTAGATGACTGAGGGCAAACCGGAATTGTGACAGATCAAAAAGAATATCGTTCATTCCAGAGCCCCCGAGAACCTAAATAAGAGAAAGTTGGAGGAAGGCGCCCTTGGATCACCAGTTAAGAGGCCTCGACAATCGGATCCCGTGAGCAGCAGTGAGAGTTCAGAAGATGAGAAAACTGATAAGAAACCTGTTAAAGGTATGGACAGACCTCTCGTCTCTTCATGTATTGTACTGTTTACTGGGCAATTACAATTGATGTTTTTTTTTTTAAATAGAAACAAATCTTACCAAGAACCCTTCAGGAAAAGTTAATCTTTCCAGTCCTGGAAAGCCTGCAAAAAAGCCTCCCAGTCCTGGAAAGAAAACTCTGAGTTCGGGAAGCAGCGACACTTCTGACAGTGAAGCTGAGCAGAAACCACCTGGAAAAGCATCAGACAAGCCTGGTAAGATGACATGGAGCCTTATTTGTAAGGGAAACTTGGCTCACTGGGTTGAAGTTTTGAAAACTGCTGATTTAAAAATATGTAGTGGTTTGTAATTTTATGTATTCCTTTTGATTTTGAAAGCACTTGTGAACAAAGCCCGTGTCTGTATTTCCTTTGAGGAGTTTGGATGCTTGATCCACGTGCTGTTGTTGTCTTTGCACAAGACTGGAAAGATTAATTACATTTCATGAAGCTGAAAATGCAGCAGTGAAAATGTGTAATGTGTTCTTTAGAGGATGTCCATTATTACTTTTTGCTCTTTTTAGCTCCTGTACTTTCTGCTTCTAAAGCCACTAAAGACTCAAGCAGCAGCAGTAGTGAGGAAACAGACTCAGAAGAGGAACTTCAGAAGGTGCCCCAGGTCTGGTCCTTTAAAGTTGAGGAGATATCCTAATCACAGCAAATAATAGTTCAATGAATGTGGGGGTCTTTTGCCAAACTTATCAAATTTGCACATAAAGTTATATGTATATTACAACGTGACTCCAAAAATGCCTTTGGTATGAAGAGTTTTCCATATGCATTTTACCACGTTAATGTTGTAAAAAACAGATTCATTTTTATGTACTGCGTTCGAGGAACTGTTTTCCTGAAATATTTATTTTTATTCACAAGATTTAAGTAGCTAAATAAATGTAGTTTTTTTCTTAAGGCTTATTTTTGAATAAATTCTTTTAGATTATAACATTTCTGTACTGTGCTTAACAGTAGATTAGTAGCAGTTTGATAAAGATAAATCGTTGTGCTCACTGAAAGATTGGCCTGTGTTACAGAAAGCTGTGGGCACCTCAAAGACAAGCGCTCCATCAGCCACACCAGCTAAGACAGTGAAGGCTGGGCT